ACACTGTGGAGCTTCTGTCACTAAAACAAATTCCTCGTCTGTGTAAACATACCTGGCAATAAAGCTCATTCTGATTCTGATTTCTTTGGATTTTGGTCAGTACACAATTTGCAATGTGTAGAAATGGCTGTATATGCAATTAGATGTGTACTGATGTATTTGAGTAAGAGAAAATGCAAACGTTGTTTTATGACAAGTTAAAAGGTGTCTGTTGGTTGATCAATTACATGTTTATGAGTTTGAAATGTTCATATTGTGTGATAACGACGATGGGTAACTTGTTTAATTAGCGTAATGTCACCTGAGTGTCCAATTACAGTGTAAATGTCGCTGTTTACAGGCTGACAAATGCTATTTGTTCAGTTATTGAACTAGAAAGGGTGAATCTGATTATGTTTGTGAACTTATTATTGACTGTATATATGCAAGTCAGGGTTTTTTTCCCATGCTGGAACACCGTTCATTTCAATTTGATGATGATGCAAGATGGCGAGCCAACCCACTCGAGACGAATGCTGACTGAGGTGAAACAGTCCCAAATATGGCCTAAATGGCACACTTCATGTGCACTTTCAGTCTTGAGGACTCAAGCTTGTATTATACTTTCCGCGTGCATGGGGGTCCACTAGGGTCAGTGTGACTTAAAAATCGTCATCCGAGGGTGTACGCAAGGCTCTTTGCAGACATCCGCGTGCCTCCCATTTTTTGTGACCGCGCGTCAGTAGGCTACAAAAGCACCATCTGCACATGCACTGGAAAAACACACCACTTTCTTGCTCTCTGCCTTTTCTTCTTTTTCTGTGAATTAGCTTAGTACAGCAGACAAAGCAGCACTTCCTCCTGCATTGACATCCGCATGTTTGTTTACTGTTCAGGCCGATGTGTGGAATATGTTTGCCGTGCGAACCACCACAGCATACACTTTCAGTACTGTAAATACAAGTAGTCCGCATCAGTGCTGTCCGCAGCTGTCCATGTATGCGTCCGAACTGAAGTATAACAGAGGCTTTACAATGGTTGCTGCGTGCACATGTCTGTTAAGTCCACGAGACCGTAGGGCAGGAGTGTCCAAACTCGGTCCTGGAGGGCCGGTGTCCTGAAGAGTTTAACTCCAACCCCAATTAAACACACCTGAACCAGCTAATCAAGCTCTTACTAGGTATACTAGAAACTTAAAGGCAGGTGTGTTGAGGCAAGTTGGAGCTAAACTCTGCAGGACACCGGCCCTCCAGGACTGAGTTTGGGCAGCCCTGCCGTAGGGTGTCCCATTCGTCATTTTAGCTTTCAGAAGGGTGCTCACGAGCGCCCCCTTTGTTGCCGCTATGCGCCCCAGATGCGCACTTCTGCTGAGCCCGCAAGTTTGCAAGCTACGCAGCTGTCGTCTACCCGGCAGTCAAAGCAGTATTACATCACGAAAGTGCAGACTCAGAGGAAGCCTGTGAGGGTTTAGGGTGTCATTTGGGACTGGGCCACAGTCAAACTAACCCAGGAAGGGGGTAGAAAAATCTGCTAGTTTTGCACAAACAGAACAAAGTTTTTCCCTTTTCGAGAGACTGCTCAAAGTTATATTTTTGTAGAGATGGAACTATTTTTTCCCCTCTATTTTTCGTACCACAAGGAGTTTTCTAGAACTGTGGAATCTAATCATTTCCTGGTGAATCTATCGATTCAGACTCAATCGAACCGTAACTAATGAACTCACTGTGCTGAACCTTATTCTTTGAATTGAAGTGATCGAACTGAACTCTGAACTCTGAACTGAGTTACTTGAACTGAATCTAAGGAGTCGAATTTAACGAACTGAATCTTTTTGAACTGACAGTACTAAAACAAACTTTTCTGAGTTGAATCTTTTGCACTGAATTTACTAAACTGAGTCTTTTCATTGAATGTATTGAACCAAATCTTTTTGAATTGAACTTAACTGAATGTATTGAGCAGAGTTATTGAACAAAATCTATTGAATCAAATTTCCTGAATTGTTATTTTGTAATGGTTTGAATACCAAAGAGTTATTTTTGATGTTTTTGTGTTAACTGAGGTTTTCAAAAGTATTTGAACATTTGTTGTTATAAGGTTGCATTCTAACTAAACTTTAGGGATGCACCCAGATTAATCCACAAATAACTCATGTATTGTAAATTGATTTGAATCTGTGTTATTGTGCTTTATTTTATTTTCTATTAAAAAAAATCTATTTATTTTCAATACAGATTAATTTCCTTACAAAAATAAAGCTGTATAATTTGCGCCTCCCGAGCTGAACCTACTGGCCTATAGATTTTAATATATTGTCAGTGCCTGTCAGTCGACGCAGGTGTTACATCTACATAATAAATAACATTTTACCATCCAGATATGTCATGAATATGGAAACATTTGAAATCGTGCCAAATGAGAGAGGGAGGCTTCAGTTTCTCTTTAATTCATTTTGGCTCAACGTTTATACTATATAGCCTAGCCTAAATACTGTTAACTTTAGAGGATTTGTTGTAAAGAGAAGGGAACAAAAATAGCCTAGTTGTGTTTATAATGTTTGTAAACGTTTAGATTTATTTACCGGTATTTTAGCCTACATTATTTCTGAATGTAATAATAAAATGTGACGTACAGTCTACGTGTCTTGTTTTTTCCTCTCAAAACAATTTTTTTTTTTTTTTTTACCATGCAGCAAACATTTTTAAATATCTTGAAAAAATACTTTAATGTCTTTAAAGCATTGACAGTTTTTCCTTTAATTTAATACATTTGGCCAAAATCTTGTTAGAAAAGATGATGTATCTGTATTGGCTATGACTATATGACTAAACGAAAAAGACATCAGACCAAGACTCTCTACTTTTACAAAAATATTTTGTAATATATTATAATATTATATTATAATACCAATTCTGCTCGGAGTGAACCAACTGATTCCAACCCTCAAGTCATCCTAGGTGTATATGACTTTCTTCTTTAAGACGGATCCAGTCGGAGTTATATTAAAAACTGTCTTTGATCTTTCAAGCTGTATAATAATAGAAGTAATAATCACTTTAATGTAGCTTGCGCCAACAGTTGTACACAGAAACAGCTCCGGGCGGATGACGTATGGAGGTCGGCTTTGCGTATGCGCCGCTCAGAAGTGACGAACGCGGAAGAGCAGCGGAGAGATCAAAACAAAACAATGGTCACGAATTAGAAGTACCAAACGTTGGTTTTTACGAGACTCACCGGCGCATGCGCAAAGCAGACCTCATACGTCATCCGCCCGGAGCTGCTTCCGTGTACAACTGTTGGCGCAAGCTACATTAAAGTGATTATTACTTCTATTATTATTATTATTATTATTTTGAATATGGATATTTTTCTTACAAAAACACATCAATTCGCTACAGGAGGCCTTTGTTCGTACAGGAGGCCTTTTGAGGATATTTGTGTAAATATCATGTTCAAATATTAATGGCAGAAGTGATGGTCATTGTTTATTATGTCGGAGGATTTCGATATAAGCCAAGAGGAGACTGGTTTTCCACTTCCTTTGCTCCTGTTAAAGGAACACTCCACTATTTTTGAAAATAGGCTCATTTTCTAACTCCCCTAGAGTTAAACAGTTCAGTTTTACCGTTTTCGAATCTATTCAGCTGATCTCCGGGTCTGGCGGTAGCACTTTTAGCTGTAGCTTAGCATAGATCATTGAATCTGATTAGACCGTTAGCATCTCGCTCAAAAATGACCAAAGAGTTTCTATATGCAGCAGGCGCAATGATATTACGCAGCGCCTGAAAATAGTCCCCAACTAGGTAACTTCCAATAAGCCTATTTTCAGGCGCTGCGTAATATCATTGCGCCTGCTGCACCCATGGTACGGCAGCAAAGTTCCTTGATTATTACGCCAGAAAGAAAGTATAGTTCCTAGCCATATCGGCCTAGAAAATCGCAACTTTTCATTTTCCGTCAGTCTTAGTACACGATGTAACTACAGAAGAGACAAGTTTTAAATAGGAAAAATATAGAAACTCTTTGGTCATTTTTGAGCGAGATGCTAACGGTCTAATCAGATTCAATGATCTATGCTAAGCTACAGCTAAAAGTGCTACCGCCAGACCCGGAGATCGGCTGAATGGATTCGAAAACGGTAAAACTCAACTGTTTAACTCTAGGGGAGTTGGAAAATGAGCCTATTTTCAAAAATAGTGGAGTGTTCCTTTAACAAACGTTGGTTTTTACGAGACTCACCGGCGCATGCGCAAAGCAGACCTCATACGTCATCCGCCCGGAGCTGCTTCCGTGTACAACTGTTGGCGCAAGCTACATTAAAGTGATTATTACTTCTATTATTATTATTATTATTATTTTGAATATGGATATTTTTCTTACAAAAACACATCAATTCGCTACAGGAGGCCTTTGTTCGTACAGGAGGCCTTTTGAGGATATTTGTGTAAATATCATGTTCAAATATTAATGGCAGAAGTGATGGTCATTGTTTATTGGTAGGTTAACTAAGGTTATTGGTAAGGATTTTAAGTCTAATAGGAAAATAATAGGCCTAAATAGATTCAATGTAAACAAATTATTGATTAATCTAAAAAATAATCGATAGACTGAGCAATCATCAAAGTAATCATTTGTTACAGCCCTAGACAGTAGCAACTATAATACTGACAGAAAACTACCCCAACAGACTGTGTCAGATATCTTGCTATCAGTTGGTTCATGGCACATACTTGTGTATTATATACATTTTTATTGCATTCAACAGGAATTTCGGTTACACATGGAGCTGATATACATGGATACAGTGGAAAAGGTGTCACAATTACATGTTCCCACGGCTTGGCTTCAACCAATATAAAGTATTTCTGCAGAGATATATGTGAAGACAGAGATGTTTTAGTGAAATCTGACCAGTCACCTACAGGAAGATACACACTGAAGGATCATGGAGCTGGAACCTTCACTGTGAGCATCACTGATCTACAGGAATCAGACTCTGGCATTTACTGGTGTGCAGTGCACAGATCTGTTAAAGACACATATAAGGAAGTCAAACTGACAGTATCTAATGGTAAGAATGATGCACAGGATTTGGTGTAGATTTAAGTAAGTGTAAAATACTCATCTGCATGTTAATAATAACTATTATAGCCTTGGACACAAACAGACCCACAACTCCTAAACCAGCAGCAAGTTCTCAATCCTCCATGACACAAAGTTCATTCTCCACATCTTCAGCATCTGCTGACACCACAACCTCATCTTCAACAGGTACTGAACTAATCAGAATATTATTGTATTTATCTATGTATCAAATTATGGAATGATGTTGTCTCTCCTGTACATTTAAAGGATTTAAAGGTCCTGTTGTTTCATCCAAACCAGCATCTAATGAGAGCGGTGCACAATATTCACTCTCCTCAGGTAAGGATTATTTCTCTACACACTATAAAATGAAATGAACTAACATTAGTTGCCACATCTTTGCATGTAATGTGAGATCTGCCAGAAACATTTCATGATCAAGCCACCTTCCTTGAAGTGCAAGCCCCCGTAACTTAGTTTCTACACCAGGTTCACCCTGGTGAGATATTACCGCAATGCCAGTGTGACTATTTCATCAATCACATGACTAACATCACAGTCTGTCACGTTTCCCCTGTCTATGTATGTTTTAGTTCCTCTGATGATCACAGCCATTGGTCTGACTGTGATGGTGATTATATTTGGAGCGGTGGTTTGGAGAAAGTCACACAGCTCCGATCGTAAGCACAAATGCATGGCACTTTTTCATAAAATATTGCCTACAATATGTCTAATGCAGTTTTTTTTTTTTTACTGTTTAAAATTTAAGTTGATGCTGAAATCCAAGACACCGCTTATACTACAGAGGTGAGAGACAAAAATCTGAATACTTATTATAATATTTCAAAGTATGCGTATTTACAATAGTGTTTTGTAATAAGGCATTCAATTGCACAAACCTCAGAAGTTGACAAAACATGGTAGAGCTGTTAGCTTTCTATTTGTTCATTGTCAAGTCTTCTAGCTGTCAAATATCAGTAAATGATTCTATGTAATGCTGTATGTATGTTTAGCAATAACTGTGTACATCTCCTTTGATACTGTCCTCTAGTGGACCATTTGTGTAGCACGTTATTTATGGACATAAATGCAGTTACATAGTGAATTGACTTGTGATTATATCTAAAATACAGAAAAGTATTATTTTTTTTCTCTGAACACTGCCGGTGATTACAAGAAGCTCACAGAGACCCATCTGCAGATTAATACACACACAATCCCCAGCACTTGTACAACAGTCATTTACATATGCAGCCATTAGCATGCATGCTCAAGGTTGTGGACCAAGTACAAGGTCAGAAGACACAGTAACCTATAACACTGTGCATTTTACAAAAAAAATACTCTACATGCTTCAAAAAAAATTGTGGACTACAAACTGCATGTTTGGTGTAAGCAAAGATCTCATAACTGAATGTGTTTTTTTATTGTGTAAATAAATATATTTGTGGGCTGTCCGACTGTTTAATGCCTCATTGCCTTATTTGAGCAGCAAGGTTTTTATTTAGTAGTGTTGGGTCGTTCTTGAACGATTCGTTCATTTTGAACAAATCTTTAATGTGACTCGGGAAGAACTAATTGCACCAAAATTACCCCACTGTAAAATTAAAAAAACACTGAGTGAACAAAAATGTGTGAGATAGCTAGTCATAGTGGTAATTAAATAATGTTTACATATGTATAAAAGCCTACATTAAAATCTGTCATATAAATTGATCTCTTCATTAGAAATTAGCCTACTGATTGCCACCATTGATGGACAACATTTTTTAATAATATTAAAAATATCTGTATGACATTATATTCTGCAGTTCTTCCCTGTTGTACCGAATATCTATACTTTTCAAATGATCATATCGAAGTTAGAAATTCAAATATTGTGACAAAATTTATTTTGTAGGGTGCCACAAGTTTGTTAAAATTTCCAAAGGGTGCCGCGACTAAAAAAAGGTTGGGAAACACTGATCTATAGGACTACTGAACAGACATTTAGAAGTTGATTTTAACATGCAAAGTATTGAAAATAATAATAAAACTCTGTAAACACTTTGCGCTTTTACAACACTATAAGTGTGTCCCATCAGGTAATGAAAAGTTGTACACACACTTGTGGTCTTCATGCTCACTTGAACACACAGGAAATACGTCATGTAAGTAGTCAAGTGGTCAAGTGTAAAGACTGCAAGTGTGGGCATTTGGACAAGGCAACAGTCTTTGGCATCACTCACGTCTTCAGTTTTGCTTTCATTGGGCAGCGTGAAGCCTGTCAACAAGCATATGGAAACAAATTAATGGCTCTATTTAATTGTATTTAAATTAAATTGGTTTATGGGGGTAATGCACTTATAAGTCTGCGTTCCTGCAATGATGTGTTTAATTACCCACCATATTCCTGCATAAAATTAACATTTGCACTGGACATAATAGTTAGCACTGCCTTTTATGCTTTACTTGAACAAGAAAAAAAATTATTTGTCCTAAAATATGAAATAAATTTCATAAAAAGCATTCAATTTACCTTTCTCATACACTAATTTTATGTTTTAAAACAAATTATAAGTAAACTGTTTGTATTTCTTGAAAATTGTTGCTTCAATTCGTGTTTTGCAAAATAGAACCTTATAATTCCAAGCGGAAAATGACTTTTTAGAATTAGAAGGTTCTATCTGCATTTGACCTGTTCCAAAAATCCCCATTTACAAATTTGAGAGAATTTTGATATTGTACTTTTAGAATACATTTAGGGTCTCTGTCATTTTCATGTATGAAAGAGACTTGTTCCCCATATCACTTTTGCTATATGGAATGTGAAATCTTTGAAGCTCAATATCTCAAAATCACTCAGAATGCAGATAGAACCTTATAATTCCATGGCGGCGATTTGTGTCATTCTCAAAACTTTTGGCCACGGCTGTTCTGTATGCTGTCGGTGGTCTGGGCATGATCATATTTGCAGTTGGATTGGTCACCGTTCATCAGCACAGGAAAAAAATTCAAGATATCAGAAGGTATGTGCACATATATAAACAAACCCTGTCTAATATCAACATTTTAAAACCAATTTAATTTAAATACAATTAAATAGAGCCATTAATATGTTTCCATATGCTTGTTGACAGGCTTCACGCTGCCCAATGAAAGCAAAGCTGAAGACGTGAGTGATGCCAAAGACTGTGTACATCACTCACTGACGAGTCCTGAGCGCGTTCTCAACAGCAGGCGCATGACGAGTCTTCTTCTTCTTCTTGCTTTACAGCAGATCGCAGACTTATAAGTGCATATGGTGAATCAGAGGTAAAAAGCGATATAAATACTGTTCAGTTTCTTGCACAGACCGATCGTTTTGTGTCTTTATACATCAATGCATCATCACGAGCCGCAGGGTTAAATTTGGTTTTGTTTGTGTATGTTTTTTTGACTCTCAAAGCCGTGATTCCCATTCACTTCCATTATAAGACTGACAGACTGCAACGGTTTGAGTTAAAAATCTGATCAAAAATACCCAGCCACATATTGTTTTGCAATGACCCAGTGCACTTGTGTTTTCTTGATGCAGGACGACCGTGTATATGAGAATGGCTCTCCCGAGACAAACAGCACACAGATAAAACCTATCAACAGGACTACAACCAGACAAGAGCAAAAGAGCCAAGTATATTCAGTCTACGTCGGGGTCAAATGTTTTCGGCAGTGAGTACAAACAACAGCTTTCGCCGGTGACTACTGAGAAGATGACAATAAAGCTCAACTTGAACTTGAGTCTACGAGAATTCACATGCACTCTATGGAAATCTCTGGTCCTAGTGTTAAGGAAAGAAATTCAGAGAACCAGTCTAAATCTGATGGTTATAAGATCAAAAACACATGTCGAGTAAAGGCATTCTAGAAGCTCAAATATTAAAATGTTTATGAAGAAAAAAAATCTATTTATGAATACATGTATATAGGTGACAAGTATTTTGTACTTCCTTGTATGACCACGGGGCACTATGTCTGATTCTGTTTCTTTTTATTTTTTGTTTGTTTGGCTAGATAATTGTTGTTCCACTTGTTGACAATTCCTGGTCCTGAGTTTTTTTTATATAATCATATTTTGCATGGCTGTTTGGTTCTATCTTGGACAACCTTGCAACTCATAGATATCAGTTCAACTATCAATATGTAAACATTACCATATGCCAATAAAACTTCATAATCATAGTCTCTACGTGTGTTTTTCTAAATAATTATTTTATTTACATGCATTAACCAGTTAGTATTGTGTTGTGTATTTCTCAGTGTCATCTTAAAAGCTCCTATGTGTAATTTTATATTGAAATCATTTTACCTCTACCAGAATAATAATAATTGCAGTATACAATAACTAAGCTTTTATACAGATGGCCCATCTCAAAATATACCTCTTTTCATCAAACAACAAGTGTTTCTGGGTTGGCAAAATTAGCTCGGCACTAGCCAGTGGCCACTGTGTGTCTTGAACTAGAACCACTAATGACAACTACAGGATGTTGTAAGTTTTCAGATGCATTCAGTGTGCTGATATATCAGTACATACAGACAGAAACATTACTGCTCAGACCAATGCATTACAACGGAAGTGGTCATCTGCAAGCATCTGTGGTATTTCAGGGCTCTGAAGACACAAACATGCCCATTCCCTCCATTATCTGGAGACTTAAAGGCGGCTCGGTTAAAGCGGAAAGCTCACACACAACAGAATTAGAGCTCAAAATGAAGTCATTTTGTGTTGTTTGGCTCTGGATCTTTCTGTCAGGTCAGTTTTCTCATGGCTCCCTTTATTAAGTTTACAAATTTTGTTTCTTTAAAAAAAAAATGTGTTTCTTACGGGACAATCTCTACATTGGCACACATCATTAATCAGATGTAACTCATCACTCGCTGTGATGTTAATCTAAAATGAATTTAATGAAATACTGAGATCTTTTCTTTCTTTTTTTAAATCCAACAGGATTTGCGATTACTATCACCAAAGAGATTAATATACATGGACACAGTGGAAAAGATGTCGTAATTACATGTTCCCATAAATGGGCATTAAAAAACAGCAAATATTTCTGCAGAGAACCATGCACATATAAAACTGGTGTTCTGGTCTCATCTGATCAGTCACTTAGTGGAAGATACAGACTGCAGGATTTTGGAAATGGCACCTTCACCGTGAACATCATTGATCTACAGGAGTCAGACTCTGGTATTTACTGGTGTGGAGTGAAGAGAGCTGTAACAGACACATATAACACAATCAGACTGATGGTATCTAAAGGTAAGAATGACAACTTGTCTCCAATGTCTTTCCCTATTTTCTTGGCGGTATTACATTTTCTTTCCTCACACATAAATTCAAGTGAAAGCATCACCATTTCCACACAACCATACAAAGAAACACAAACATCCCTGGATTCACACACAACTACACCAGCAGCACATTCAGGATCTGCATCTACCACAGCACGCCTAACCTCTAGAGATTCAAGCCCTGATGCCCTCAAACTCTCAACCTTAGTAACAGGTAACAACTTCAGCCTTTTTATAAACCATGTACAGTACACATTTAGCAGCCTTTAGCAAGGCTAACAATGAACCAGAATGGCATCTGCCAGGGTTACTCCAGGACCAGGTCTGATAACCACCGATTTATATAAGATGA